TGCGTGGCATTCACAGCCGTGGTTGCAAGCCCTTGGGGCGGATTTCGAACTCACCCATCCCTCGAAGTCCAGTGACGCACAGAGCATTCTTTTCGACTCCCTCCCCGCCTGGGCTCTCTATGACACACCTCGCCCCAAGCTGGCACTCACGAGAACTCAAGAAATCTACCACCCGTAACGTAATCGTACCTTCGTACACCCCCTCCTCCCCTCCCCCCCTGTGATTCGTGACCCGCCCCTCTGCACGGAAACCCAGACCCGAGATTGGCACCGACGAGCGAGTGGGACACTTGCGCCTCGCATGCCATCGTCACGGTGAGCGCAGATTTCGCCCCATCGTCCCGAAGGATGGGGTTTGTGTTTCCGCTCCCTTTTTTTTTTTTTGTTCCGGCCGATTCGCCCGCTGTTCCTGCTGACGTTCTGATAGCCCGAGAATGTTGTTGGCAGTACACGTCCACAGATATTGAGACCTCGCCGGAATATGTGCAGCGGTCGTTGTTTCCGCGGGAACGGACTCGATTGTTCGTGGTGTCCGAGGAATACACCTCTGACGCCACACACAAAAGCGCAGCATGAAGCAATCGTAGTCTGTTGAGATCGTTCCTTGGACGGACGGCTGTGTAGCCGTTTGCTCTGGTGGCGTGATCTCTGCATCCTGGGATGGAGAGGCTTAGCCCCTGCACCTTGGTTTCCCTTTGCCGCAAGCTCACGGGTAGGGATGAATGCAACAGTAGTCCTTGTCTTTGAAGCGAATCGAGGGCAAGCTCAAAGCGCCCCCCCCCCCCACATGCGCACTATCGGCGTAACACCGAGAGTGCACATCGATGTTTGAAAGGTTGCACGCAAGAAGCACTTGGTTACCCCCCCCGCCCGCCCGCAGGGTGGTCGAGTAGATTATGTTGTGCGGGATCGAGAATCCTCACTCCGCGCAAGGGGGATGATCGCACCACGTTGTTTTGAATTGGTCAAGCACCCTCGAGGCAGTTACACAGGCTTACAACGGTCTCAGGAAGCGAAAGCACCAGAAAATAAAGTAAGTCATACGCAGCTGTCATTCGTACGCAAGGCAGTAAGCACAAGATGCCGAACACCCTTAGCAGGATGCAGTGAACCCTCCATGCGACTCGCCGAATACCTCACGGCGCTTCGCGCTTGGTGATGTGAGAGCCTGGTCCGGTGAGAACCCGGCGTGATCCGTCCCGGCTTTGTAGGGATGCGAGGTCTATGGTCTAACGCCTACGGCATGCACGATTATGAGTACACACCAAACCCTCGCCCGCTTGGTCCTGTCGGAACGATGCTCCGTCCTCTCGAGGACGCGCGGTCACTGATCTAACCGCTAAGGCATGCAGAACATAAGAGTAACCTCCCCCCCTGTGGTTACCGTTTCGCAGGCCGCCGGCGGGCAAGTGTTGCAACATGCGGGAGGCAAGGCGGGGGAGCCCGGAGAGGACGTGCGGTACAACAAGGAGGAACCTCTGAACCCGTTCTTCGTTGTGTACGGCACCCGAAAAGCAGCGGCGCCCGCGGTGTAGCTGTGCATGAAGAGGAACCATCAGGAGGCGTGGTCGCATTGGGTGGGGGTAATCGTGTTTGGCATGCCTTGTTTGTTGGAATGTTACCACGCGTCCTCGAGAGGATAGAGCAAGGGGGGCAGAGGCATGGGGGGAGAAGATTCTCACGTTTCGCGTCTCGCGCTGTCGGCGTCTAACGCCGGGCCAATCGTTCAGCTTGAACGGAGAAGAGGGGAAGGATCTGCGTCGTTGTCGAGTGTAGGCACGGAAAATATGCAAAACAAGCTTGCGGGGGACATGCGCATGTCATACGTTCATAGGAGTATGCAATTGCAGTACCACGAAACAGACTATAGAGGCGATCAACATCGTGAACGACGGGATCTGCGCGGTCGTTGATAGAGCCGGTAGAGGGTTGCAAGATTTTCTAAATGCTTGTAGCTTCTCGGCTGCTGTCATTCTTGCTGTTTCGGTGCGGTTGGAGGGAATCACGGCGGGAAGCGACAGCTCGTGTTTTCACAGAAAAAACCTCCCCCCTTGCGTCGTCGCTGGTCGTCGCCTGCAGCTTGTGCACTCTCACACGCGCGTTGGTACAATTATTTTCTCCCGTGTTTCCGATTCCATGTTGAAGAGAGGCACAACCCAATCGATGAACAACAACCTACCTCACGGTAACGAGTAGGCGGTAATCAAATCCCCAGAATACATAGACGGGTGCAAGTATTCCCGCACATATATAGAACCTCGACTTCGTCTCAAGTCTGAGGCTTAGAATGTTTTGTTGAGTTCACTTTGATCGCGAAAAATCATAAGCAAGTGGCCGAACAAACCCACGGCTTCGCGATGAATGGATCCCGCGCCATAAACTCTAACACTGCTGTCACAGCGTGTTCGTCGTTGTCGACGAAACATAAGTAAAACCAGTTCTACCCTGATATTTTGCGACGTTTGTTTGCGTTGCCCGCCTCCTGGCGCTTCAACTGCAAGTAATGATTGGGTAACGCAACCACGCACGGCATGATCTTGGCAGCTTCCTGGTGCGCTACAAATCATGAGTAGTCTACTTATATGAACGGTAAAAATTTGACTAGCCCATCAAACACCACCCTTTGTCGTTGAGGTCCTCGTCCTCTGTCGACCGCTTTCTTTCGTTCTTCCATGTGTCGGTTTCGTTCACTATTCTGCGGTTAAATGAACGGAAGACTATCGCCATTATAGCCTTGTAGTACACAGCGACGTGTGTCTTTATTGTTAGCATCGACCGCGCTAACCGGCTGACCAATGAAAATACGTCAGTCTTAATGCGGTTTGAAACAAAAGGTCTCTCTGCCACGAACTGGGACCCGGTGAGGGGGCAGCATGGGGGAGGTTAAACTATCCTCCGGATCAAAGACAGAAACGATGGCAAAAGAAGAAAACTGCACTAACTTGTCTACCAAGGCTATTACTTTGTACTCGAGTTCGTTCACTGTAGGAGTATCACTTTCACCATTATCCCCTGCGTTGTCGCTACCATCATGCTGATCCTCATTTGTACAACAATCTCTTGCCAATTCTTCCCTAGCCCTGCGTTTTTTGTTTGGGGAAGTTCATCTGCCTCAAACCCTTTGCACTTTTCCACTCCTCCATGTTTTCCCCCTCCATCGTCGTGTTCGTCCTCGTTTGTTTCTTCCCTTTCCCTTTCCTTCGTCTCCGTCACTCCTATAGGAGTTACCCTCATTACTATCATTGTCGCAAATATCCCAACCGATTGGCCCTGGTGGAAGTCGGCCGATCAGTAGCCCATGAAGTTTGAACACATCGCGATCCAATCGACAGAAAACGAGCTAGCTCGAAGGTATGTGTGTACAGTGCAAAGCCTGTCAAATGATTGGCTGGGTTTGTTGAACAGACTTTGGGGGTGAGCGCGGTACCACAGATACTTATTTTACTGATGCTGTAGCTTGTTTTCGAGGGATGGCTCAATGGCGCATGTTGTGGGATAGTTCTCATGCGCGACCAATAGTATAATATTACGGCGTGTCTTCATCCCCCCCCGTCTGTATCTCCGCCCACGAGGCACCAATCGAGCCGGGACACGCACTGCTGTGTTGCTGTGATGTAGGGCTATCGCGAGATACCTCGTACAGCGGAAACGGTGCAGGTTTGGTGCAGCCATGGCTGATGGGCAAAACATATCTGTTTTTGATTTTTTTGCCTGCCGACAAGTGCAGATGTACATCAGAAAACTTTCACTTTATGTCTCATACTCTACATGAATATTAAACAAATACGAAGTACAACAACATATGTAGGACTTATTTCTACTGTCACTTACATCGTAAAAATATCTCCTCTATAACTTGAAATAAAACCAATGACAATCCTCATGGTATCCTATATGCGTTCGTAAGCTTGCTAAAATACTACTGCGTTGATGTCCTCTTGTAAAAGCTGAAATCCAACAAATGCTTTGATCCATGCTACATCTCCGTGTTGGAAAAGCCCTTTCTTTTCCGTTCATGATAACATCTTACCCTCTTCTACGCAAATCTGTCACATCTACTCTCAAACAACACGCCTACTTCAAACGAAAACGCGTTCTACGATGCGTCTACACTCCATCCNATGCGGTTTGAAACAAAAGGTCTCTCTGCCACGAACTGGGACCCGGTGAGGGGGCAGCATGGGGGAGGTTAAACTATCCTCCGGATCAAAGACAGAAACGATGGCAAAAGAAGAAAACTGCACTAACTTGTCTACCAAGGCTATTACTTTGTACTCGAGTTCGTTCACTGTAGGAGTATCACTTTCACCATTATCCCCTGCGTTGTCGCTACCATCATGCTGATCCTCATTTGTACAACAATCTCTTGCCAATTCTTCCCTAGCCCTGCGTTTTTTGTTTGGGGAAGTTCATCTGCCTCAAACCCTTTGCACTTTTCCACTCCTCCATGTTTTCCCCCTCCATCGTCGTGTTCGTCCTCGTTTGTTTCTTCCCTTTCCCTTTCCTTCGTCTCCGTCACTCCTATAGGAGTTACCCTCATTACTATCATTGTCGCAAATATCCCAACCGATTGGCCCTGGTGGAAGTCGGCCGATCAGTAGCCCATGAAGTTTGAACACATCGCGATCCAATCGACAGAAAACGAGCTAGCTCGAAGGTATGTGTGTACAGTGCAAAGCCTGTCAAATGATTGGCTGGGTTTGTTGAACAGACTTTGGGGGTGAGCGCGGTACCACAGATACTTATTTTACTGATGCTGTAGCTTGTTTTCGAGGGATGGCTCAATGGCGCATGTTGTGGGATAGTTCTCATGCGCGACCAATAGTATAATATTACGGCGTGTCTTCATCCCCCCCCGTCTGTATCTCCGCCCACGAGGCACCAATCGAGCCGGGACACGCAAGGCTGTGTTGCTGTGATGTAGGGCTATCGCGAGATACCTCGTACAGCGGAAACGGTGCAGGTTTGGTGCAGCCATGGCTGATGGGCAAAACATATCTGTTTTTGATTTTTTTGCCTGCCGACAAGTGCAGATGTACATCAGAAAACTTTCACTTTATGTCTCATACTCTACATGAATATTAAACAAATACGAAGTACAACAACATATGTAGGACTTATTTCTACTGTCACTTACATCGTAAAAATATCTCCTCTATAACTTGAAATAAAACCAATGACAATCCTCATGGTATCCTATATGCGTTCGTAAGCTTGCTAAAATACTACTGCGTTGATGTCCTCTTGTAAAAGCTGAAATCCAACAAATGCTTTGATCCATGCTACATCTCCGTGTTGGAAAAGCCCTTTCTTTTCCGTTCATGATAACATCTTACCCTCTTCTACGCAAATCTGTCACATCTACTCTCAAACAACACGCCAACTTCAAACGAAAACGCGTTCTACGATGCGTCTACACTCCATCCCCATATCATTGGCGTTGACTGGTCCGAGGTCGATCTTGTTCGCCTGTTTTCGGCGTCTTGACGCCCGTGCAATGCGAGCTTGTACCTCTGCAGTCGCCGAGATATGGCCACCTGTGTAGCCACCGAAACGATCTGAAGAAGTCGTTCCTTGAAGACTCCTTTCAGAGCCATCGTTCCTCCGTCCCTTCCTCCCACGGCATGTGTCGCAAGTTCATCGATGAACTCGTAACCCTCCTCTCCAAGGCGGCCAAAGCTTTCCACGGCTAAGGTGGTAAGTTTAAAGCTGCGTTCGTCAAAGGACACGTGTCCCGGACAAGCGTAGTGCTGACGCTTTCGCGCCTCGGATGCTTGGGCTGCGATTCCATCGCTGGTCGCGCTGCCGTTCCGCAAGTGTACCTGTGCTTGCGGGTCTGCGTGTGTGACATCGAGGAGTATTCCTTTGTTGCGGTACCCCGGAGAAGATGCGTTCGTGAGGGCTCCTGGCCTGATGACGATGTCCATGCTCAGGTTTCTTTCCCCCGTGAACGGTGCCCCGCTTTCAACGTCGTGTTTGACGCGAAGGCCGTTGAGTGCTCTCGATAGTGCGTATTTTAACGGCTCGTGCATGTTGACCTGTGCTCCATCCCTTTGACAGGTCCTTGCGTGCACCGTTGTGATGATCTCGCCTTCCCTGCCTCTGTGGCACCTGGGACATCTTTCCGCCAAGAATTCTTCAACTCCCAAGGCGCGTCTCGTCGCGTAGACGAATTCGTTCGATGGAATCTCTCGAGCTCGGTCGGTGGCAGCCGCTCTCAGGAACGTGTGTCCCCCTTGCCCTTGCGAGCTTCTCGTTCGTGCGTATGCCATGTTCCTGGCCTCTTGACCTCCGTAGGGGTTGTCCCGCGTGGGTGGTACCGCCTCCTGGGGGAGGTGCTCCAGAGACTCCATGAACTTTTCAAGTTGTATCTTGTTAATCGCCTTGCCCAGTTTGTGCTGGGCTTTCCTCGGCGTAGTAGATTCCCCATCGTGTGCTGCCAGTTCTGCAACGGTGGGCTGACGCCTTCCGGTTTCTCCTGTCGGTTCTAAGGCCCACTCAACCCATGACGGGGGAAGGATCCCCTTCAGAATCTCCACCGATATTCCATGCTCCTGGTTGAGTTCTTTGATAGCGTCCCCCATCCGCTCCACCAACACGGTTCCCGGTATCCGAACTCTCACCGACTCTCCCAATGGACCCCGTAACGCGGCTATAACCGCAGGGAGGGTGCCGACTAGGTTGCCCAGAGAAGCTGAGAACCTTCGCATTACGGCTTCTGGTAATCCTAGTTCTCCGGCTCCTGTCGACAGGCGCGCTTGGGCTTGTTGATAGGGCCTTAACTTGAAGCGGTCAGGCTGGCAGTCGTCTTGGAAGAACTCTTCTTCGACTTCGGTGTCTCTGAGCCCCATCGTTGCCTCTAGGACCCACATCACCATATTGTCCAGGCGTTTACAAGCCCCTTTCACTAGCTTATGATTGATGCCTCTCTCGATATATCCGGATCGCTGTGTCAGCGATTGTGATGTGACGAGGTG